AACATCAATTTGACAAGCCCCTAAATTTAAATGAGGGATTAACTCATCTTTGTAGCGTAAAACATTATTTATGTTACATTTTTTGACTTCTGTATTTTTATATTGTGAATGTATTCACCGTTCTTCAAATTTATAGATGACACTGTTAATGGTAATATGTTATGTCGATATTCACTATAGCGTTACAGGTATTCAATCAGTTATTTCGACAAGAAATAAAAGTTCCCTACTTCAAATTCTGTGTCCTCGATATGTGTAATTGAATTCCTCTCTCACTTGCACGAGAGGAGTTACACTTCAATCAGTATATAGGTTGTCGTTGTTTTGCAGCAAGAAATTCACCTCCCTCTTCACAGCCAAGAAGCTGATTGGATTCGAACAGACAGAGCACTTGACAGAGTGTTGAAATTAATGAAGAGGAAAGAACGGGACATGTTGGCCGGTGCGAAAAGAATTTGAAGCGTTTCCTTCTTGTCAGTGAATTCCGTCTTTGAGCTATTTCACAAAGTCTTATTAACAGCAAACCGTGAATCTGAACCCTTCAAGATGTCGTTTGAAATTGAGTGTATAAGATGAGCTTACTTATCTACAGAACCTGACAAATATGATTAAGAACGTAGTCTAGAAACAAGAGAATGCCTTAACAATTTCTCTGAAACCATCCTTCATTAATTAATTTTTTGTGAAAAATCATCTCAACTCAAGAGAAAAAAATGTTAGTTCACTTGTTCACATGCTTCTGAATGAATTTATAGTACAAAATATTTCAAAAATAGTTTTCATTACTAAAGGTACTCTGAAAAAATAAGATTCAAATTAGTTCAAATCATCAGTTTATTTCATTACATATAATATATGATAAAAGCTTGTCATCATATGCACAAATTTTATAGAAAAAGAACATTCATTAAAACAACGATTTGCAACTCATATTTGGGTGGCAAGAATTACCTGAGTCCACTGACCGCACTGAAAAAGAAGAAGGTGGATCAATCACTTGTGAATTAACTTTGATAGGAGACTGATGAATATCCCCATATCTCGGCTTGTTTTGAAGAGATTTCAGTTCCGTTCTGAAGTTAGGGCAATGCATGATCTCATCAAAATAATGTGAAGGAGGAATAGTTCCAAGGACCGAAGCAGCATTGCCACGTTGAATAGTAATACTAATTCTTGGAAAAGAAAGTTTCTGACTTTCTACTACTCCATCTTTCCCAAAAATTAATCACTCCTAAAAATATAACCCCTTCAATTCAATACTAATTCATTCTATCAAAAAAGAGGTAGAACGGTGCTTGGCCTATTCTCCTTCCGAGTTCATGAACGAATACTAGAGACTCCGGGCCACAAACACCAAAAGTTTCGACTGCTACTGGATGGAACAGATAGTTGTTACCAAGAACTTGTTTCTTTTTCAATTTCTCGCCAGACAATGCTGCAGTTCCAGCAGACTTCGAACTTCCAGCTAGATAGGAGCCGCGATCGTGTCAACGCAAGTGAAGTCCCATACCACAGGTTTACCGTATTTCCATGTTATGAGAGACATACCATCTGGTCGTTTACCATCATCTCGACTGGTACCTAAGGGTTCCAGGATTGCAGGAACATCCGCTGACAACATAGCTCGTTTCAATATGTCGTTCACTTGGTGATGTCGAGATGTACGCCCTGCACTTCTCCTGCAACTCAAACCATGTATACCTTTCTCATCAATTATACTACCGCGAACACAAGTATGAGGCACACAAATAGATGAACCCATCCTTAGTCCTACTGCTATTCTGAAAGATTCATCGTCTAATAGTGTTACAAGAGATGCAACAGATAAAGCATTCAGCCAAGCACATCATTCCTTCATCATTGATTGCTGCTTTCAGACGAGCCTTATTGTATCCATATGTAGATTTCAGGAGTTTATCAGTTATAATGTTCAGAAGATCCCATGCACTGTATTTTCTTTTTATCTGTAGGAGGAGCAATATTAGTTGCGGCATGCCAAAGTGATTCACCTTCAGCATAAAAAACGTCTTTGATATTGATGAATATGGAAGGAAGGATAGAATCGATAAAATCAGAAACACTATTGACTGATGACAGAAAAGCTGGTAAAGCTACGGAAGAAGCCAAACGTAGCCCTAGTCCGCCAAGGTTTACAGGAAGCGTTGCTTGAAGCCATGAATCATTATTGAAATGATTGTTTGTAACATATTTCGTCGTGTTGCGGAGTAAATTATCAAATTCGTCAAGCTCTAACTGACTTGACCAAGTGCGGGAACATCTGAGGGCGTACATGAGTTTTGAAATCGCCAAACAATTTTTCAAAAGAAAAAATACAACGTGTTTTGAAAGTTCATTCAATCTAATGGTCAGCAATTTGAGTGATATCCGTTTTTCTCGAAGATAAAGAGCACACAGTGAAGCGCCAAAAAGTATAGGACAAATTTCTGGAGGAACCCTACCAGTGAAAATGAAGTTACATTATTTTGTAATAGAAGAAAGAAGTTTCTGTCCTGAATTTCCAGAGCTGTGACTAATAAGGTCTTGCATATGGCTATGGCGGAAAGAATCTAAACCACCAGCAGAACAAAATAAAGATATTTTCCTCCTAGAATAACTAATGTCAATATCAAGTTTCATATTCACACGAGTGAATCTTGCAACAAGTTTATGTACTATGAATTGTGTAAGGTGTTAAGAGACCGTGGGAGCACGTGACTAAATATTATCTGTCAACGATATTTTCATCTCTCTTCTTGCTTTACTCTCTCTAGCCAAATTAATCAAAGACGCACGTCCCTGCTGGTGGGTAGCGGAAGTAAGAACTCGAAATAAGTGCGACAAGAATAAAGTACAGTATTTCTATTGAATGCCCACATTCGCCTGTTCATCACTTGGCAACGCTGCGCTGACACTTCCTTTGAAGCTCTTGACAAATGCCTCACAACCCTAGAATATATTGTCAATATATTCAACTACTACAAAATGGCGGAACTTTTAATAATTGCCTGAATACATTGACATTCAACTGCATAGTATAAGGTAATTAGTCATTTTATATTTCGTATTATTTTCAGTAAATCCTTTCATCTGATACCCATATCATGGAGGTGCATAAAATAACTAGTCCAACATCTTGGGCGGTTCGTCACATTGGTTTTAGTGTGATGTCATATTATTTTTCATATTCTTCTCAGCAAATGATTTTATCCGATACCTATAACATGGGTGTGCATAAAAAACTAGTTCGCCATCATGGGTCGCCGGCCATTTTGGATTTGGAGCTACGTTTTTATTTTTTTTATTCTTATGCACTCATTTAATATCCATATCATAGCAGCACAAAAAAAAAAGTCCACCATTTTTGGGAGTACACATATTTCATTTAGTCCACATATTTCATTTTTCGTATTTTTTTCAGCAAAAAAAAGTATTTCAATTGATACCCATATCATGAAAGTAAATAAGAAATAAAGTAGTACATGATGGTCGGTAACCGGGCGGTTTGATGCGGGTGTTTGTTCACTCAGTCAATCGGCCGATGTGTGAGTCGATGGATCAAGCCTCAGGTTGAACGCTCGATTTTCATTTGCTATCGTCCAACCCGTGTTAGGAATCACACGTTAAAAGGTGAGACCTCGTTAGTCCTTAGCTCCCACAAGTTTTGACTTCTGAGGGTTGTCGTTCGTAGGGGTGCAATAGCTGGTTAATGGAAAAACATAAACATAAGGAGACGTTCAGGACAGAGATTGAACGCGATGAGCCACCCAGGCACATCGTAAAGGCAAAAACCTATCATGAAAAGACGTTGGTTATTGTATGGTGGTCAGCGGATGGTATGATCCACTAAAACTTTCTGAAACCGGGCCAAACCATCCCAGCAAAGTCTCATTGTGACGAAATCGACACACGTTCCACGATTTACCGTTAGAAAATTAAACAAATTGAACGTCGGAGTTCTGCCTCACCCAACATACTCCCCAGACCTCTAACCAATCGACTACCATCTTTTTAAGCTATTCGATAACTTTTTCACCGGAAGAACCATTGCCAATTAGGACCGGGCAAAAAACAGCCTTCGACGACATCATCATAACCCGAGCACCTATGTTTATGCTGATGCAATCAATAGACTTGTGTTACGTTGGCAAAAGTGCACTGATCCAAATGGCGCTCATTTTGATTAAATTGAAGTATTCACTGAGATATTACACTTTAAAGTAGACTCATAAAAACGGACAAAACTTTCTAAATAACCTACTACATATATTTATCTGGTTTCTAGGCTCAATTCTCACATACGAGACTGAAAAATGGGCTATTTGGAATGGGACATTTTCGCTATTCATAGATTACCATCTAAATTTTCGTTCTGATGTTGGAAAAGTATATTCAGTATATTCATTTCACGCCATAGATTCCATTTATGCTCATCAAACTAATTTTTCGAACACAATTAAACAGAATAGCACCCTCATCGATAGAAATTGTCTTTATAGTAATTTACATCACTATACTGTAAGATATCAATATTCGTAAGTTAAGTTGGCAACATTTGACAATTGGCAACATTGTATCAATATTGTACTTGTATTCGTTCACCCCTGTCCCAGTTGTTGACGTTCGATCAGTGCAGTTGGTCTTGATTAAATGATACACTATAAGAGCTATATCGTCTTTTATTCTCATCAGCGAATAAACAAAAATATATAATCCCAAAGACGTTACAATACTACTGCCTGTAGTGTGAATCTGAAATCCGCTTTTCAGCCGAGAATCTAAGATTAACCTACGCGCCATCTATAACTGAAATCAAAAAGTAACTGAGCAATAGAATTCAATACCTAGGTATTATTATTTGCAAGTTAATAAATGAGACATGCGTCAATCACTGAATGTACTTGTATTTTTTTTATTTTACAGGTGAGCAGCCCAAATGCACTAATTTGTATTGGGCAAAACATTGATGATAACTGTCATATTTACATGACAGTTCTCTAATGTCAAATAATTTATTAGCGTCAAGCTCGCGTTGTACCATCTCCATCAGAAGTATAAGTTTCAGAATGGAGGGTTATTCGATTTTCAATGAACAAAATCTAATTTTGAATAACACGAATACTCTTTTCGACGATAAAATCGAGGCCCTAGTTAAAGTTTGGAAAACAATCGCGGAAATAGATTTAGTCAAATGTGACTTGAAGCGTGTGATTCACGTGGTGGATTGGGCCATACTGCATACTCTTAATAGTGTCCTAATTGCAGAGTGGAATTACTACAAACTCAATCATGGCGACGGGATACAAAACGTGATAAAGGACGCGCAAAGAAAAGTGGTAGAATTCAATTCAAATTTCAACAGCCGCTTTGAAAGATTGATATACGTAGTGAAGGTACCTTGGACACATTCAATTTTGATGAATTTAATGAAAACTAAAGACGCCAGAATAAGCTCCGAAGAAATCGAGTTTTTCCATTTCGAGCAGACGTATTTAATTTCTCTCAGATTGAAGATTCTCTGTGAGTCGAGATGTCAAGATTTTGCTCTTAATCTAGTGACAGCTTTCATGACGTGCTACAGTTCTCTGGAAAATGCAAGTGTATACCTCAACGCCAGCATAGATCAGTTTTGGTATATGTTTGATGTTCACGTAGCTCTGTTGTATCAAGTCAGACATCGAAAAGCTGTGCGAGAATTGCTTGGGCAGTTGAACCTAGAGGAAGGCCTATCGTTGGTGAAACGTTTCTACAATAAAAAGATTCATATGATGAAACTTTGGAAGAACTGCAGGAAGATCGCAATTTCAGCAACGCAACTATTCTTAACGCGTGCAGTTAACGAAAACGATGAAACTCTCACCAGATATTTGGAAACTTACATTGGCATGTGCAGTACCGAAAACCTTCTACGCGATTTGTGTGTTAACATAGAGTACATAAGCTTTATATTGAACCCGGCTGTGATTTACGCTTGCTGCGAGGTTCTTCAAAGAAAATTGGACTCGCAACTAAAAGCCTTCATTGTTGAGATGTACATCAAAGGTCTTACTGCAGATATGAATGAACTCGAACATCAGAAACTCATTGGAGATAATGAAAAAGTTGTGTTGATAACTAGTAGGTTGGCGAATGCTCTATGTAAATTGGCACAGGTATTCGACGAAAACGTGGAGGTGGCAAAAGAATGTATTTTAACTGCCTTCAGTTTGGAACCCACTGAAGAACGTTTACTTTCGATCGAATCTATGGCAGAGAAAAGTGGCTTTCAGGTAAGAAAAAAAATTTTGTTGATCTGATTTTTTTAAGTATTCAATAATTTGATGAAGTCAAAATACGTACTTGAATTCAGAAATGTCCACGCACACTCCATATGGATAATGTCCTTCGGTCGATTCTCTAAAAATGTTGATACTTATATCAATTTTCAATCTTTTGATCAAGAGACGTCACGGATATAAAAAAATACTCGTATGTATTGTTTCCTAGATACGGATTCAATCCAATATAAACTACCCATTTCGCAGTAGAAGATCAGAGTTCTGATCTTGGACATATCTCTTTCATGTATCTCATATTTTTTCATAAATAATATACAAATTGAATCAATGATATTTCTATGTAATGGAAAATCGTATAAATTGGTTATATTGTGGACATTATTCTGAAAATCAATTACTCGCTCAACTATGACCAGTTAAAGCCTCGAAACCTGAAAATCATCGTATCTATTGTTTTATACAAAGAGGTTCAAAAATCTGTTTTGTTGTGAAAATATTTGGAGAATTTAGCTTTCTCAACATCTGTTGATTTGATTTTTTGAATACTAGGTGGATCAAAACTCAAAAACATTTTTCCTTAATTTTTCAAGTGGAACACTTCATACTAATAGTGTGAAAATATTTCATTTCCATTATAAGACTTCTCCAGCGAAACTTTCATTAGCACTTTTTGATGCACTTTTCTCATTTCCAACGATGCCCTTTTGAAAAAAAAGACTTCCTATAATAATAGTTCAGGAGACTTCATCTTCATTACGAGACATTCAATGAGCGACAAATATGGTCGTTACTTGTAAAAATATTGAGTAATGATTCATTTAAGGAGAATATTCTGAATAAGAATGTCATTAACTACCATAATGAGAAACAACCTGAGAAACCATCCAAAAATTTTTTCATTGGAATTCAAATAGCTTGAATTATTCGAGTAACACTTTATTGTGAGATTTTCACTGGACAGTTTACAAAACCGCAATACGTGTTTTGCTATATAAATAACTTCGTCGAGCTTTACATACTTAAATATTCAAGTCTTGTGTTCTATCTCAACTACTCCATGAAGATGTGCATGAATTTTTTTGACATAAAACAATTTTTTTCATCACATTACAATTTTTTTACATGACATACTCGTTTTCATTTTCCGAGTTTATGTTGTCATTTTTGTTTTTCGTTACAAACTATATGAAGTGTTATTACGTTTGACGTTTGAGAATAGTTTTAGAAACAGGCAAATTCTTGCAATAAAAATCAATTGAAACAACTGCGAAGTTGTGATTGTATTCATCAGTGATTCGAAGGTGTGAATTATGGGATCATTACTTCTCATTGTCACATAATTGATGCTTATTTCAAGAATCGTAGAAAAATACTGTAATTGAATACAAATGAATGCTTATTAAATATTATTATGAAACCTCTCAGCAAAATGATCTAGAGCTTACATCGTCAAAAGAGATCATTATTCGGCATTGATAGTACCGAAATATCACGTCAGAAATTTTCTTATAGAATTTCAGCTGGATAGATAGACAGTTTCTTATGAAATGTCAACTTGAAATGTAAAGATAGGCATACAAATTCATTTTCAAAAAATGAGTAAAAAATGAATTCAAACTTTGTGTCTCAGAATATCTTTGTCGAACTTGAGAGTGAAAAAATAGTTCAAGCAAAATCTTTTCCGGTAGAAACTTTTTCGACAAAATCAGAAATTTGTTTTATATACTAACTATCGAACAAAACTTCCTATTTTCAGAGTAGGAATCACATGTACCTAACAAAATATACGACTTTTATATAATTTTCGTCTTTCCATGATCACATATTGCTTTGTTTTGAATTTTTGTACTTCAACGTTTATGATTCAAGTATATAATTTCCATATATATTACTGCAGTTTTTTTTCCATACACCAAATCGTTATTTTAAACACCTCGACACGTGTTTCGATCACCAAGTGATCATCTTCACAGAGGAAGATCATCAGTTTCAATCTTCCTCTTTGATCCCTAAAGAGATGGGATGGAATCAAAGGATGCAGTCTTGCCAAGATCACCCTGGGTGATCCTGGGAAGCTTGCGCCGAAGAAATATCTGGCGATGACCAGGAAAAACTTACGCTTAACAGTAGGATTTCTGACTGGCCACTGTTAACTAAGGAAACACCTTCAAATTATGGGGCTAGTGGACACACCTCTATGCTGGACATGTGAACAGGAAGATGAAACTGTCAGGCATGTTTTATGTTTCCTACTCTACAGAACTCCTTGAGCCATCTAGTGAGCATCATGGCTATTCTCAGTCTGTCAGCCATGTAACGTTGTAGAATCATCTCAATTTCAACTAGATAAATTCTCTTGAGAAAAATATCTGGTCTAGGTTTGGATCGAACTCACGACCTTCCGGTCGTGAGTCGGGCGCACTACCACTGCGCCAATTCATTGTGTTCTCAATTTCGAAAACTGTCGGACAATGAAAATGTTACACAAACGTTAAAATACTAATTCAGTGAAAAAGTACACATTTTCACACCAAATATTTTCCATTTCATATTTGAAACAAAGTGACCTCTCAGTTTTTTATTGTTAATGTTGAAGTGTTGTGTGAAAAGTTGTGGCACGAGCAAATATGACTGCTGTGTGGCAGATATATTTGTTCAAGTTTGATCAACATATTTCAGAACTCAATAGATAATTATGGCAGCAAAAATGTATATCGACAGTCATAGTGAGCAATATTAATTGCAGGTACATTATTTTGAATTTTCACTGACTTTCTTTCTTCAGAAATAGCTGTTCCATTAGTAGATGCTGTTTCGTTTTCAACAGATTGCAAAATTTTATTTGCCGATGAAATTTTTCTTGGTAGATGGGCATCGATATATCCCTCTGCTGTTATGGTCGATTTCCACCCAACGTGTCGCTTGAGACGTATTACCCTACTTTGTTCAATAAATGAGGTGAATTTTCATTTTTATCAAAAAATATTCCATTTATTCCGATATAATTCACTTGTGACAGTGTTTATTCCATTCCTCAAGCAGTTTTGATATGCACTTTTTGGCATGTCCTTGAATTCTCTCAGCGATTTGGTTTTTATCGCCTCAATTATCGTAAAACGCCGTCAAAAAAAGTCTCACGTTGGCAAATCTGATGGATACGGTGGTGAATACGGTGAATTACGAATAAGCAATGATGAATGAGCAGATGCATTATGGTGATACAAAAGCCATGAGTTATTTTTTCACAATACAGGATGTTCCTTTCGCATTGCCTCTCGCAAGAGACGCATAACTTCGAAATGATACTCATTATTTACGGTACGACTATGTGTCAAGAACTCCTGATGTACTACGCCATGGTAAAAGAAGAGCAAAATCTTGACATTTGATCGAACTTGGCATGCTTTTTTTTAGTTATGGCTCTTCTGGGCTCTTCAATTGGGACGATTGGGCGAGCGCTGTCTTTGACATCTTCTCGACCTTCTGTGGAAAGCTTGACTCACTTGTAAAAGTTTTTCTGACTCAGAATACAGTCACCATATGTCACTATCAACATTTCAAGTACTTAATTTAGTTTTTCACACAAAATTTGATGCAAATCCTTTGAAATAAAAATCCGTAATCGAATGAACGTAGTCGGCGAAATTTGAAAATTCACTTTATTTTTTTAACAGTCCCCGAAATTCACTATTTTTTTTTTTGGTGCCATCGGCATCGACTACGTTGGTCATTAGCCTCGTGTCCTGGGTAGGCAATGTTAATAACTCCCTGAGCCTTGAACAAACAACGTGTTACCTCAGGGCTAGTACTAGAGTGCCACCAAGATTCAGCCAAAGCCACGGTATGAAATAACATTATCCTGAAGTGGGTTAAAAGGCACGACAGGAGTAAAGGTAATCACCAAGGCAAAAATTATTGAGAAATTAGTCAAAGTACGTTTAGATGAATTCTTAAAACTGCACTGTATTATAAACAAAAACCAGTTTGGGTTTCAAGATGAAAAAGATGCAAATGATGTTATCTTCTCGTTTTTATATGAAATTTACTCTGAATTGAATGCTGGTGAGGTAGCCGCCGCAATTTTTGCGATATTTCAAAGGAGTTTGATTGCGTCAATCATAAAATTTTATTTAAAAAAACTTAATAAATATGGATGTAGAGGTGTAACGAACACTTGGTTCGAATCGTACCATTCAAGTCGGAGTCAAATGGTGAGGACAACGGAACTCTCGGAGAACAGGGCCATTGAATCTGGTGTACCACAGGGTTCTGTATTAGGCCCTATTCTGTTTCTGATATATATGAATGACATATCCATGATTAACATATCTGGTAGTTTCACTCTATTCGCGGATGATACTACAATATTGTGGAAAGAAAAAAACTCAATGGAGCTAAATAAAATAATATCATCCGACTTGAAGAAGGTGAAGAGCTGGTCCGATGCAAATTTACTCTCTCTAAATGCATCCAAAACGAATATAATATCATTAAAATGTTCGCTTGATGACATTTCAGTAGACGCTGACGTATTACAAAATAAATTAAACACAAAGTTTCTCGGTGTATTCATTGATAATAGGCTGAAATTTGATGAGCACCTTAAACAACTGAAGAGTAAGATCTCCTCAGGATGTTATGCAGTTAGAGTGGTTTCAAATGAGTTGGGTTTCCATGTCGCAAAGACCGTTTACACGTGTTTCGCCATAAAATGGCTTCTTGGAACGTGTCTTTACTAACTAAGTTGGTAAAGACACGCCCGAAAAAGCCATTGTATGGCGAAACACGTGTTGCGTTTTTGTAAAATCCTTTAGTGAAAATCCCACAATATAGTGTTTTTTGAATACGTTAGTTATGGATTTTCATCAAGTATCGGCCAATTTCATCATATATCTTAAGAATTTTAGAACCCGATAACACCTTCGGCCTGATGAATTCGACAATTGCGGAACTAGCCAAATGTCATACCCATGCTCAATCCCTAAAGAGATGAGATGGAATCAAAGGATACAGTCTTGCCAAGATCACCCTGGGTCACCCTGGGAAGCTTGCGCCGAAGAAATATCTGGCGATGACCAGGAAAAACTTACGCTTAACAGTAGGATTTTTGACTAACCACTGTTAACTAAGGAAACACCTCCAAATTATGGGGCTAGTGGACACACCTCTATGCTGGACATGTGAACAGGAAGATGAAACTGTCAGACATGTTTTATGTTTCCTACTCTACAGAACTCTCTGAGCCATCTAGTGAGCATCATGGCTATTCTCAGTCTGTCAGCCATGTAACGTTGTAGAATCATCTCAATTTCAACTAGATAAATTCTCTCGAGAAAAATATCTGGTTTAGTTTTGATCGAACTCACGACATTCCGGTCGTGAGTCGGGCGCACTACCACTGCGCCAATTCACCGCTTATGTCACTATTGTGGCGGATGATCGTTGAAAACACTTATTTGTTTTTAGTTTTTTGTATCTGTCAACTTTGAAAATTGAGCATTTTGCTGTGTTATGTTACTGAATTTGTTAATTCCAATACGTAGATCTGTACCTTTCCGTTTCTGGTCGAAGTTAGTCATATTTTTCAATACTTCGTGAAAATTTTCGTGAAAGTTTTTTATTTTTTTTCATTCGCATGCTCCTATGTTATTGCCAATAGTAGGTACAGTCTACGAAAAAACAGGTCGAAAAAATAATTGTCAATAATTTTATAAAGTTAGGAGATACAAATCAGGAACACATGTGACATAAGAGTGTAGGAATGGTAGTGTGGAATAATATTCAGTTTAGTGCATGTGTATGTAATTTACAACTTTTTACTTCTAGAAGTAGTAGGTACGGACTATGATCGTACAAAAAAGTATTAAAACATTCATATATTTTCAGATATGCCATTCCAAACAGGATTGGAAGTGTCCCCTACATCCTCCTGTACTACCAACAGATGAGCTCACGTGGAAGTGTGCCACATGCAATGACTGGAGGTGCAAACCTCAATTAGAAGTACCTCTCAAAATGAACATAACCTTAAACGAGGCAGTTCACAATTCAATCTTAGGAATACCTGGAGCTCTCTGTGATGATCTCATCGTCTGCATATCAAACCCAAGATATCAGATACTGAAGTGGTGTCTACCCTGGGACGTCTTACATAGACTATGTATAATGTATCTAAAGGATCCTGAAGCGACAAAGAACTTAGTAACGGACTTGAAATATCTCGACATTGACTACTCCATATTCCAAGGCATCAAGAAGGAACCCCTGGATGAGTATGCAGGAATAGAAAAAGGTTATGAACGGTATTTGGATACAAATTTCCTACCAGTGGAACACTTGGAGCCTCAAAGAGTGGTGCCTGATAAAATTTCTGACAATTTTGTCGATGGTAGAGATTACGACTGTTTGAATAATTATTTACATCATCAAAAAACGTCAGTTAAGTGTAAAAATGCCTCGTCAAAATTGTTGCCAATACCTGAGCCTCGGAGTATTCTCAAAAAAAATGTCCTTTACAGTGGTGCTTCCTCGGTAATTTTGAGAAACATTGCCGAAGGGAAGATTCAGAAGAAAAAGAATTATCAGCGGAAAAGCGTTGTCGTGGAGACAACTAAAAGGTCTCCTGAGCAGCCTGCACCGACTGATACCGAAAAAATAAAGATGAGGATTTTGAGAAATTCTCAGTCCATAGTTTTGGATAAGACAAAAGTTGAAGAATGTTTCAAAAAGAAATGAAGCTAGTTGATAAGCTCATCCAATTTCTTTAATTAATCATTGAGGCTACCTCACCAGTATTATTTGTTGAGTTATATGTAGTTGAAGTACAGATAGTGATTTTTTCAATTAAACGAAAACATGTAAGACATTTTTCTTCTAAATTCACCGACACAAGAACCAATTTGCTTTGAAACGGGTATAACTAGATTGTGGCGATCTATTGTCACTGTATATCGTTCAATCCGTGTTGACAATCGCACGTTAAACTCTAGGACCTTGTTAATTTTCAAAATCGTACATATTTCGAATTCTAAGCGTTATCATTTGTGAAGAGAGTGGTTGACGGATTTTGTCAATATAAAATAGAAACTACAGTTGAGACTGCCCACATACCACTATAATATAATTTTTTTTTCAATAATAATAATTTATTACAGTTTCTATACAGTAATACAAACCTCCACAAGTTCATGAATAGTGAGTCTGTTTGAATCAATCAAAAATTTTTTCAGTTTCTTCTTGAATCCTCTATAAGAATGAGTTTCTTTTATTTCGACAGGAATAAAATTGAAAAATTTTGGCACCAAGTACGAAAAGCATCGCTGTCCTATAGATTTTGAAGCTAGCGGTGTTCTGAAATAATTGGACTTTTTTCTTGTTTCGTAGCANCCTTCTTACGAAACTGCAGCTGCATGAACAGGTGTTTGAGTTTCATGAATAAGTAGGAAACATTCCCGTTCTCTTGAAATTCTTCGTCATGAACAACATTTGTAAAATGCTATTCATGTAGCAAATGTAAATTATCCAATCCAATTCTCTTCTCTAGATTTTCAGGACAACTCTCTACTGATTCGTAAGGAAAAACACGTTTCACAGAATCTCCATAAGAACCATTTCTCATGCTGCGATCGGTCCTTTCAAGTGAAAAAGGGTTTCGTAGAGGGATCGGTTTGGCTCTTGCTTCATGAAGCTCTTCCACTGAAAGGGAACCAGAACTACGAGGAGTGCAACTCATATTTGGGTGGCAAGAATTACCTGAGTCCACTGACCGCACTGAAAAAGAAGAAGGTGGATCAATCACTTGTGAATCAACCTTGATAGGAGACTGATGAATATCTACATATCTCGGCTTGTTTTGAAGAGATTTCAGTTCCGTTCTGAAGTTAGGGGAATGCATGATCTCATCAAAATAATGTGAAGGAGAAATAGTTCCAAGGACCGAAGCAGCATTGCCACGTTGAATAGCAATACTAATTCTTGGGAAAGAAAGTTTTTGGCTTTCTACTACTCCATCTTTCCCAAAAATTAATCACTCCTAAAAATATAACTCCTTCAATTCAATACTAATTCATTCTATCAAAAAAGAGGTATAACGGTGCTTGGCCTATTCTCCTTCCGAGTTCATGAACGAATAATAGAGACTCCGGGCCACAAACACCAAGAATTTGTTTTTTTTCAATTTCTCGCCAGACAATGCTGCAGTTCCAGCAGACTTCGAACTTCCAGCTAGATGGGAAGCCGCGACCGTGTCAACGCAAGTTTACTTTCTTTTAATGCCTTCATCATTTTTTCGTAGAAGAGATCGGTTAATTCAGTGACATTGTTTAGTGCATAAAAATTTCCCCAGTTTATGGATTTCGTGAGTGTTTTTAGTTTGTTTATATCAGTTTTTTCTTTGTACCGGGATTCATTTTCCCTTCTATCATTTTCTTCGAAGTTTAAATTCGGTACTATTGGGTAATGATTTCTTATTGGTGTTCTTACTATAAAATGCTTGGAATTATCATAATATGGTGTTTTTGTTTTGATGAAACAATGGTCGATGCAGGTTTTGCTGTTACCTTGAACCCTTGTATATTCATTGATTGTTGATGTGAAGTTATACTCACTCATTATGTTTAAGTACATTTTGCTAAAAGTGTCTGATATTTTTAAATTTATATTGATATCGCCAATTAGAATATCAAAATCGAACGATTCTTTTGATAATCGTTCTAGGTAAGTAGTTAAATCATTCAATTCAGTTATAATTGATGGAGGTTTGTATAATCCTGTTACATGAAATTTCATTTCATAATGTATGAACTTCACTGATAGCACTTTGATATCTCCTATGTATTCAATAGTGTAACTAAACTGGATTGAATCATTGATGCGCATTATAGTACCATAGTTTTTATTCAACATGCCTTCATTGTAAATAATTTTATACCCTTTCATCTAATATATAAAAATGGATGTTTGTTGGTTGGTTGGTTGGTTGGTTGGTTGGTAAGTGATAAACTTCTACATCGCTCAACCGATCGTGATTAAACTTGACATATATAAGTAATTTTTCATAGAAAAGGTTTTTGGGCTATCAATTTTCCTGTAACTCGCCACCAGATGGCGCTGTAGAACAATTTTTTTGAAAGCACTGTTCTATAACGCTGCGCACGCCTAAGTTCGTTGATTCTGATTCTGTCAAAACTTTGGAACAGCAGCGATACAGCAACATAGTACTAGTTTTGTATAAGTTTGGATCAGGAATGTTGAATGTCTCGGATAATACAATAATATCCATATCAGCTTCAATCAATTTCAGGATAGCTTCAAGTTGGTCAAAATTTTTACTGATACGAATATTAACATGAAATATATTGAGCTGCTTTTTGTGTTTTTGTATGTGACTATCAAGTTCCGTCAGATCAGTTGTAATGGTTTTCATTGGATAATATTCATAATCACGGATGTATTGGTCCATATAAGTGAAATCAATACCAATATCTTTGAATTTCACACTCCCAATATAGACAGAAAAGAAGGAGAAAAAAGTAGACTTCAAGTCAATGGAGATATTTAAGGATTTTCCGGAACGATTTTTTTATTTTTCTTGGGCTGGGGTTGATGGTTTATTCGTAATACTGGGCGTTGGATCAATTGGAGTGGTATTCGGTTTGTCGACTTGTTTGAAATTGTCGTCCTCAGTGATTCTTTTGGAAGTTAACAATGGTGTGCTTGGAGCGCTATTTGCTTTCGGTTCCTCACGGACTTGTTCTGAAAGTTCTGCCGCACTATAAGCTACTTCCTCAACGTACAATTTATTATTTTTTACGTATGAGGTTTTTTATCCTGTCGTGCCAGTATCAAATGTTTCCTAAGTATATTGTGTTCCTGTCTTTGTTGAGGAGTCAAATCATGAACAATTGAAAATTTTGTGCCTTTTAGTTTCGGACAATTTTGTAAAATCAATTTTTTCGTGATATAGGATACAAATTCAATCTTGACTGGTCTATTACTACTTTTTCCCAAAGGGTATATATCGTTTATTTGTGTTTCCTTCAGATCAACACCAATGAGTGAATTTAGTTTTTGGCATATAGAGTTAGAAGTTATTTCCTTATTTTCTGTATCCAGACCAAAGATCAATAGATTTTTCTTCTTTTCTATTCTCTTCAATTTTTCTACTTCATTTCTTAGTTCTGAATTATGTTTTTCTAATTCCTGAACTGAATTTTTCAATTTTTGTAAATCAATCAACAATCGTGTTTCGCAAGCTGCTATGGAGTACTTGTTTTCTTTTTTGGTCTTCACAATTTCCTCGTATATTTGGTTAGGAGTGAGTTTTTTCACCGCCTTGCATTTTAGTGTTATAACACGAGTAAATGTCTTTACTATATAGTATATGGGTTGCTTTATTTTATTGATACGGTTGAAGCGATAAGAGCTGTTTATGTTTTTTGCGATATGCTATCTACAATGTCTTGTTGGTTATGATTTGTTGGTATTGATTATTTCTATTTGTTGAATTCCAGAATTGTAGTAACTGACTAATTGGTTGTTGTCTAATTAAAGATGGGTGAAATTTGTATGACTTTCTGAAGTTTATGTACGTACTAATTGATTAATAAACTGGACGACGTTTTACTTGATGGTGCTCACTAAAGCAGGCCACGCACTATTCCGATTATTTGATTTCATTATTTTTCTGTGGAGTTTCTGCATTGTTTGATTCTCAAATTCTGATTCGGTAGTATTTTGATCTAATTTTCGTTTCGTTAACTAATTCGACTGATGACCTTTTCATTTTGTAGAAATTCATATTGAATATAGGATTAATAAAAAAGATTTTGTCTGATTTCTACTACGACTTTCATTTGTTAAGACCAGTTTCGGTTTGTTACACCATCTTCTAGTAAACTTTTACTTGACCTAGAGCCTGGTCGTAGGTAACAAATAAAAATCGTAGTAGAAATCAGACCAAAGTTATTTTCCTTATCCTTCATTCTATATGCATTTAGATAGTTCAATGCAGCATAATCCATCAATACAATGTATTATAAAGTTCATCATTTTGGTTGAAATTTGGAATGGGATGGAAAATAGATGAAGGTATCTTCTGCAAACAAGTATATTTCACACATTGCGATCACTCTTATTATATCATCTATAGAGATCAGTAAGAAGAAAAGATCGAGAATACTACCCTCATCATTGTATAGTTCCTCGGATGATATTTTTCTCGGAAGCAATTTTTTTATTTCGTGGATAATTTCTTATCCACTCCAACATTCAACCCATGGCATCAATACTTTTCATTTTATTGCATTATTCTACTTTCATTTACCATTTCAAATTTACTCTAGTCAGTCTAAGAAATACTGCACATAGTTGATTTTTTTTATATTTCTTTCGAAATTAATATTTAAATACTTTTCCACAACTGTGCTTAATGCAACAAATAGATTGAACATAATCGACTATGTTATCATCTTCAACAGATTCTACAAATTATCCGTACTCTAATTTTTCTAACATTTTCTCAATATAATTCAGAAAATAATTTGGAAATGTATTATTCTCTAACGATTTGTTAACAAGATTGAGCAACGGTTCAGCAATATTACGAAGATAATTTTCAAACGATATGTTTGATGAGCATTGTTTAAATAATATATTTTAGACCTATGTTATTTTTAACTACACTTGAATTTTCTCCATAGTAAATAGGAACATGCCTTGTGAAACTTATCATTCTGTCAAAACTCGGTCCGAAATGTTCACTTGTTTATTAAAATTTCTTGTAATTTTGTTGAGAACTTTAAAGTTTTCGATGTTCAAATAAACAAATCTATCAAAACTTCCTGTAAATGTGATTCCTGAAGAG